AAAAAAAAAAAAAAAAAGAAAAGCTAGAACTTGATACAAGTTTCATTGGTAAATTCTACCAAGCATTTAGAGAATGCCAATTCTTCTAAAAAAAATTTTCAAGATACTGAAGAGAGAATACTTTTCAACTCATTCTATCTTGTTGCCAAAACCCGAGAGCCACCACTGGAACATTCTATTATCCCCCCTATATACCACATATATATATAAAACACTAATGTAAAAATTCTTTTTTTTTTTTTTTCAGTCCAGTCGTGGGGCCTGAACTCTGGGCCTGAGCGCTGTCCCTCAGCTCTTCAGCTCAAGGCTAGCGCTCTACCACTTGAGCCACAGCGCCACTTCTGGCCTTTAGGCAAGCGCTCTACCACTGAGCCACCTTCCCAGCCCTGTAAAAATTCTTAATAAAACACTACTACATGGAATCCAGTAGCAAATTAAAAATATTATACATAATGACCAAGTTAAGATCTATTTCTGGAATGCAAGGATGGTTCATCTTATAAAAATCAATGTAATATATGATGTCAACAAATTTAAGGAAAAAATCCAACACATTTACCTCATAACAAAATTCATAGGAGAAAGATTAAAATTTTCTAAGATCAGGAACAGGAATAGTGTACAGGCTCCTGCTTTCACTACTTGAATGCATTATTAGATCCTCCAGTCATAGCAATTATTCAAGGGGGAAAAGTGTATAAATATGGAAAGAACTAAAATTACTTTCATTTGTAGATACTATCTTATACAGAAATTCCTGAAGATTACATACACACATACCTGTTAAAACTGTTAAAAGTGAATTCAACAAAGAAGAAAAAAATTAACAAGCAAAACTACATGCAAGGTGAGGTGAGGGTTATAGCTCAGTGGCACAGTATGAGTAGCATTTTTTTTTTTGCCAGCTCAGGAAAAACAAACAACTAAACAAAAATAGCAAAAGAAAAAATCAAAAGTAAATTATGAAAAGAATTCATGTTTGACATCATAAGTCAGATATGACATCATCAAAAAGAATAAAACAGAAATTAAAGAGGAAAAAGATTCATTTAATTAAAACTATAGAATGCTGCTAGAAGAAATTAAAGATGAAACAAGTAAAAAGAGAAACATCCCATATTTATAGACTGGAAGAGTTATATCATGATATAGTAAGTAGTTTTACCACCTAAAGAGATGCATTCAATACAACTCAAAACAAAAATTCCAATGAAACCAGGCACTGGTGGCACAACTATAGTCCTTCGTACTCAGGAGGCTAAGATCTGAAGATCACAGTTTGAAGCCAGCCAGGGTTGAGAAGTCCATTAAATGCTTATTTCCAATTAATTTGCAAAAAGCCAGAAGTGGAGCTGTGGTCCAAGTAGTAGGATACCAGTCTTGAGCAAAAAGACCAAGCAAGAGTCTCCCAAGTTCAAGCTCCAGTGCTGGTGTGTGTGTGCGTGTATGTGCGTGCACGCACACACACAAAACTCCAATGAAAGTTTTGCTAAAATTAACCAATCAATTTTGGATTTGTAAGGAATCTCAAGAGATCCAACTTATACTATAAAACCGAACAGTATGGATATAATATATGGGCATAATCACATATAGATCAACAGATAGAATAGAGAGCCCATATATAAGTCCTCTCCAGAAGGCCAAATGACTTAAAGGGGAGAGGATAATCTTTTGGATAAAGGATGCTGGGGAACAGATATCCTCATGCAAAAAGATGAAGGTCAATTCTTATATAATAGTATGTACAAACCATAATCCCAAATGGACCACCTGCATGTAAGAGCTTACAATATAAAACTCTTAGAGGAAAAAAAGACAAAAGCTTCTTAAGAGTCGACTTGGCATTGATTTCTTGAATTGGACACAGGCAACAAGAGAAAAAAATAAAGTGGACTTCCAAAAATTTTAAAAATTGTGCACCAAGACACAGATTAAGTGGCAACTCAAAGAATGAGAAAAAATGTGTGCAAACCACACATCTGTTAAACGTCTATTATTACTAGATAAATTTTATCGTCCAAGTCCCCACCCACTGTGGCTAGACCATCTGTGAATTGCTGATGGAAGTTGGAGTGAGGAGGCATTTAGGCCCCACAGAGGGCTGGGCAACTTTTACAAACTAGTACTTCTCATTTGGTGGTTAGGAAAGGATTTGATGAGGAGGGGCATAGGGTGAAACTGCAAACTGGAATCAGGTAATGGAGCCCCTAAATGATGTATCCACATCTCTCCAATCCTCTTGCCAGTTCTACATACACAGTTTTGCCTATAACACTATGAAAAATAATTTTGTCCTTCAGGGGACATCTGGTCGTGTGTAGAGAAGAAATTAGTACTAATGGTCTCTAGATGGTGGCATTCAGGGCTGCTGTCTGTGAAACCTCTAATAGTACAGGACAGGTAACAGACACCAGTGTGTATGGAGTGAAATCCAATATGGGATACAGGCACAGCTGTTTGTCCAAAACTCTAGAGAAACTCACCCCTAGTTGTGTGAGATAAGCAACTTCATTTGAGCTGAATTAAGCACCATTAGCTAATTTCTTCTCTCAGAAGGAACAGGGGTGGGTGCTCTCCACTAGCTTTGCTCTATAGAGAGTTGTACCTATATCTTGGCCCAGGAATTTTTCAACTCAAGCAGACAAGCTTTTACATAGGTGTTTCTTATGACAAAGCCCCAGATTCCCAAAGTCCACCAAGTCTCCTCTCTGAAGTCAAGACCCTGCTTCCAGTTCATGCCTCTTCTCATGCTTACCTGCTCTAGCATGTAAGATCTGTGTGTGTGTGTGTGTGTGTGTGTGTGTGTGTGTGTGCGCGCGTGTGTCCTAGGTCTTGAAGTCAGGGCCCTGGCACTGTCCCTGAGCTTTGCTGCTCAAGGCTAGTGCTCTACCAATTGAGCCATAGCTCCATATCCAGTGTTTATGGTGCTTAATTGGAGACAAGAGTTTCATGAACTTTCCTGCCCAGGATGGATGGCCTAGAACCACAATCTTCAGATCTCAGCTTCCTGAGTGGCAGCTCATTACAGGCATGAGCCTCTGGTGCTTAGCTTTTGTCGTGTGTCTTTGTGTGTGTGTGTGTGTGTTAAAGAAACTTTTAACTATAAAGCACTCAACTATTCTCATCTTTGATGGACTCATTGTCCTTTTGACCCATTTTTTTCTCTTGTGTGCATGAGAAGCAGCAGAGTCAGAACCCAGTTCCTGGAGGCAATATCTTTGTGCTCTTGGGCAGGCTTGGAGGGGACAGCCATGCTGATCAAGGCGATTCAGTGCATGGCAAGGGCCATGGTGGGCACAGGGGATAGTTCTTCCTACTGCTGATGTCTAGAAGAGACTCAGTTCTGATTCAGTGATTTGTTAAGTGCTTAGGTAAAGTTCCTCAGTGATTCTACATAAAAGTTGTTTTTCTACTGTGAATACAGTAGAAACAAAGTTGCCTTTTCAAGAATAGAATTGAAATGAACCATGGTATATCATGTTAGTACCACTTTAAAATGACTTCCCTACATAACTGGTCATTTTCACCTCAGAAAAATGCTCTTGGAAACCTAAGGTCTAGTTATAACACACCTGATGAGAAAATCCTGTGTGGAGCCCAGAGCAGCCACAAAAGGTTCATGACAAGCTGGCAGGGCCCAGGTGTGGCACCAGCAGGTAACATTATACACACCTTGCTCCCTGTGAGCTGTGCGAGGTGAGGTTTCAGATCTTCTCCGATTACGGAATAAATCGCCACTAAGCAAAACACGCTGGCCTTACGCACACTGCTTTCGGTGTTATCATAACCCTAGAGAGCCGAAGGGGACACAAAAAGAAAGCAGATCAAAGCCTTGCCTTGCAGCCAATGTTCCAGTAACACTTCCACAAACGCCCTCCAGCTTCAACCTTGGACTTGTCTGTAACAGCTACCTATGTCTCAGACCTGAAACTGACCCCAGACTCGTGTCAAAAGTGACTTGGTTCCTGGGGTGTGGTGGTAGGAGGTGCTAAGGGCCAGGCAGGCCTGCTTGCACACAGGCACAGCTTTGCAACAGGTAGTCACCCCAAAGACAGAAGGAGAGAGGCGAAATGAGCCAAGGAAATGAAAGCGAAAAATAACTGGTTTCATCCACATTTCTCCCAATGGTAAAGCAAACTTCCTGTCTGAAAATGCCTTTAGCTGAGCACAGTGTCCACATTTGCATTCTCAGGGAGGCAGAGACTGGGTGGATCACAGGTTGAGGCCAGCTGGGCAAGAAGTTAGTGACTGACAAGGGAGGTATGGCTAGGTATGTCAATACCCTAGCTACTGTACGTATTAGGCAGGTGGACTACAGTCTTCCCTCAGCAAAAAGAACTAAAAGAGAACTAAAGCAATACAAAGGGCTACAGTATGGCTAAGACGTAGAACAGCTGCCAAGAAAGCATAATGGCCCTGAGTTTAAGCCCTAGTACCACCAAAATAAGAAAAAAGAAAATGTCTTTAAAGAAAAACTCTTGTCCAAAAAGAAATTTACTTATTACCTGACTTGTGTAACTATAACCACTCAGTAGATCACCTTTATAATAACAATAAAAAAATTGAAAAACAACAACAAAAAAATCAATGGGGCTGGGAAGGTGGCTCAGTGGTAGAGCACTTGCCTTGCATGCATGAGGCCCTGGGTTTGATTCCTCAGCACCACATAAGCAGAAAAAAGCTGGAGGTAGCGCTGTGGCTCAAGTGGTAGGGTGCTAACCTTGAGCTGAAGAGCTGAGGGACAGCACCCAGGCCCAGAGTTTAGGCCCCATGACCGGACCCTCCTCCCCCCACCCCTCAAAAAAAAAGAAAAAAAGAAAAAAGAAAAAACTTTCCCCTCCAATGATTCCTGGGGCCTTTGGCTCCTCCCAGCCCATCCCTAAAGGTGATGCTAGTCTCCAAACACAATGTTGCAGCCTTGGTGCCTCTCACCCACCAGAACAAATCAGCCCTCAATAGTAATCCCCAGCCATGTGCCCAGCAAACAATAGCATGTATTCAATGGAAAGCAAGACCTCTCTCCCCCACTGAAGCCCCTGCCATCCCCACCCAAACTGGAAGTGACTTCTGCAATGTAGCACACAGCATGGTCACTTGGTTGCTGTGAGACTATGTTGTGTCCTCGAGCAGGCTGGAAAGCCCTTGAGGCAGTGCCGTTCTAGAGCTCACCTGACTGTAACACCTGTCTAACTCACTGCCTCAAGCATAAGAGCTTCACTAGGGATTTCCACTTTGTGGCCTCCTGGCCCAGGGCAGGGACTGCAGGAGGTCGGGAGTAAGGGTGTGTTGAAGAAATAAACACAAAGCAATGATCAAAATATGTTTACACTAAACAGAAAGTTCATTCTGTGAGCCAGAGCTCTAGGCAGCCAGGAATTTCCTGCAGCAGCTCAGAAGATGCAGATCCTAAGGATAAGGTCCCCCAGGCGCCTTTCCCACCTACCGGTGCAGTGCAGCTGCTTGTGATGTTAAGTTGAGTTGCCCCTGAGTCAAACCTCAGCCAACCCCAGGGGGATGACGCTCACCTGCAGCAAGCCCGGGATAATGTCTGCAAGGAGCTGCAGCAAGGACTCCTTGGCGATCCTTTCCACAACTTTGGTCTGCATCTTGATGGCAGCCAGGTTGATGGGGTAGTCAGCTGTCTGGATGATGGGGCAGAGCACTTTGATGCACTGCTCTGGGTGAATGGAGCTGGCCAGCGTGGATGCAGCCTCCTCGGCAGCCCTCACCACCTGAAACACAGGGTTTCCCCGGTGAGTCCCATGTGCCCTGAGAGAAGGACCAACACCTCTCTGACTTCACTCAGAAGCCAAGCACTGACCCTACTTCATGCTGCACGTAGCCATCTCTTTGTTTAATACTGCTCATAAAAGTAAAAGCAGAGTAGTGATTTTTTTTTCTTTTTCTTTTTTTTTCTTGGTGGTACTGGGGCTTGAATTCAGGGCCTTAATGTTTCAAAAGCTCAAGGCTAGGTAGAGCTCTAGTACTTGAGCCACAGCTCCACTTCTGGTTGTCTGGTGGTTACGTGGAGGGAGATGTCTCTCATGCCCAGGCTTGCTTTGAACTACAATCCTCAAATCCCAGCCTCCTGAGTAATTAGAATTATAGGCATGTACCACCAGCACCCAGCACTGGAGGGCAATTTCCCCTAGGCTTCAATCTAGTCACTTCCACTTGGAAGTGACTTGGAAAGTGCTTCTGTTTTCAAGTTCAAGAGGGTGGACATCCTCCAAATCCTGTGAGGGTCACTGTCTAGGTGAGCCTGCAGGGCAGGGGTGGATTGAGAAGCCGCAGCCAGCACCCAGCCCTGTGGGACAAGCAAAGGTGAACATGGTGAATTCTGGAAAATCCTGGCAAAGTGATTCTCCAAATGTGCCCGCCACCACCCCCTTCCCCCCCCCCCGCACTATGTAGGTAAGCCCCTCACAGGATTGGAGGATCTTCACCCTCTCCAACTTAAAAAACAGAAGTGCTTTCCAAGGGCTAGTGGGCACCCATGTGGAAGGGAGTAGATTGAAGCCTGGGGGGAAATTAGTTCCTTCCATACACAAGACCTTAGAGAGGCTGAACAGCAAGGCAGCAGGGTGGTTCCAGAAAAGCTTCTGGATGTGTTTTCCTGAGGAATCTCATGTGCAAAATTGCCTCTCCAGGGGTCAGTACTCATAGTGCTTCCTCATCTTGCAATTTTAAGATAGCACACAAAAGAATTGCTTCATAGGCAAAGGAACTGTCTGACCTCTGAAGAGCCACAAAAGCCCCTCTCATAAAACAGATGGGAGCTGGGTATAAAATCCACTGAGGAAGGGTAAGAAGGCAAAGCAGAACCATTTAGAACCTAGGGAGGTGGATCCAAATCCTAACCGTGGTTGGCTTAAGTGCTCACACCTTGCTTCTTCATTTGTAAAATGAGGGGCATCTCAGAGATGAAGAATTGAAAATATAGAACACAATAAATGTTATTTCCTACTCCTTAGAGCACAGGAGCACACACTTTTGCAATGATAGGCAAATAAAGACACCAATGCATAAATATTCATTGTCTATGAAATACAGTTAAAATGCAATGCTTTTCTCCCAAGGTAAGCCATGGACTGCACATTCCACAAAGACCCTTGTACTGTGCTCTTCTGCTCAGAACTTGGCAGTAGCCAAAGATGTCCAGTCTGAAGCTTCAATCAGGGAAGGGACCGAAGGGAACACTGATCACTGAAAATAGCGTACAGACTACCTAGACACACTCTACCCCTGAGCTCACCGACCATATGTGCTGCTCTGAGGCTCTGACGACGTATTGCCTACCATGTGAGCTCCAGGCTCCTCTGCCCTGGTGCTATACTACTCTATAAATGGGACTCAATTTGGGAATATGCATCCTCAGTCCCATGTTGATCATGTTCTGTTGAACAGTTAAGGAACTCCTTGACAGCTGCACTCACCTTAAAAAAAAAACAAAAAACCTGACACATTCTGGGAAGGCCAGGCCACTAACAGTGGGTTTTTAATATCAAACTCCACCTGAGCTTTGTCTGCTTATGCCCAGCACCTGGCATCTATTGCTCTAACCCAGAAAGAAACACTAAAGGCTAATATTCCTTTTCTTATGATGACGAGGTTCTGGGTGTCTTGGATTGAAACCTCACAGTAAATCCTAGCAGGGAAATCTACCTGAAATGTTGCTGGAGGCCAGGGGGAAAGATGGTCCAGTTAGCCTTGGCCCCAGAAGGGGGTTGACAGAAGGCAACAGTCAAGACAGGCAGCCTTGGGGCTGGGAAGATGGCTCAGTGGTAGAGTGCTTGCCTTGCATGTATGAGGGGCCCTGGGTTCGATTCCTCAGCACCACATAAGCAAAAAGCCAGAAGTGGAGCTGGGGCTCAAGTGGTAGAGCGCTAGCCGTGAGCGGAAGAGCTGAGGGACAGTGACCAGGCCCAGAGTTCAGGCCCCACGACCGGATCAAAAAAAAAAAAATAAAAAGACAGGCAGCCCTTCTGACGTCTGCCTGACTGCTTTGTAGCCCTGGCCTGGGGTAGGAGCTCTGTGATGATACCAAAGTGACTGTAACAGCCACTGTTTTCTGCTTCTCATCTCCTGTTCCCAGAACCCCTCTTCTGAGCTTGGACACCTACTATCCCTCACATGTGGCTAGCATATGAGCCTTGCCCACCACCAGCCTCCATAACCACCCAATGAGGCCCAGCGGCAGACAGCTTTATATTCATATTTGTTTTCTCCTAGCCACGTGGGCAGCAGCTGGACTCTCCCTTTGTGCCGGGTGTGCAGGAAGCCTGGGTAGTGGCCAGTATTACCAAGCTTACTTATTGATAAGTAAGTACTGATGAGTATTTAATGAGCTCTGTTTTATCTGCCTAAGGACACATCCCTATCCAAAGAAGCCCTTTCTCCCTGACATCTAATGTCATGATCATTTCTTGTGGTAGCCTGAGCTTTTTCTGGGAAAGTCAGCTTTTCTGTGTGGTACTTATCAGGCTAAGAAACAAGGTTATACTGGCATTGGTAGCTTTAACCTTGGCTACTCAAGAGGCTGAGTTCTCAGGATCATAGTTCAAAACTAGCCTGAACAGATAAAACTGAAAGAGTCTCATCTCAAATAGCCAGCAAGAAGCTGGAAGTGAAGGTGTAGTTCAAGTGGTAGAGCACTAGCCTTGAGTGAAAAAGCTAAGCAAGCGAGTGAGGCCCTGAGTTCAAGCTCCAGTTCCAACATGCACACACACATGCACACAATATAGTCACTCCCCACCCTCACCTGGTGGACAACATGCCCTCCTGTAAGGGCTCACGATGTGGTTATATACCAGCTCTTTCAGGAGCCAAAACAGAGCCCCAGACCAGCATGTATCAGGGGTAAGTATTACATATGCATGTCAGAAAACAGGGGTTTGGCTACAAGGCTCAGGGCTGGCCTGGAACTCTTCTTCCTGCTGCCTTAATCTCCCACTTGGGACTATAGGTATGAACCACCATAGCTGGCTAAACTGAAGACTTACCATGTGCTCATCAGCTTGAGTGCAAAAGTACTGGAGAGGTAATTTTATGTAAGAGTCATATTCTATACCACCCTGAACAACAGGAACCAATATACAAGGACATGTGCACCTCCATGTTTATTGCAGCACTGTTCGCAATAGCTAGGATATGGAAACAACCCAGATGCCCCACCACAGATGAATGGATCCAAAAATTGTGGTATCTATCACAATGGAATATTATGCAGCCATTAGAAATGACAAAATAATGGCATTTGCAGGAAATGGATGGAGCTAGAAGGAATCATTTTGAGCGAGGTAAGCCAAGAGCGAAAGACAAACGGTACATGGTCTCCCTGATAAGTGGATACTAAATCCAAAATGTTAGGTGATACGACAAAACTAACAGGACTTAAGAAACAAAGAACTCCCACTCATCTGGTGGTACCACTACTAAATATCCCCATGCTGCTGATCACATGTATGGTGTATAACATGTGAACACGGTTATATGTTACAGACTGTAATAGACAATTTGCTCCAGGAAAGTTAGAATGAACTTGTGACTTTAAATGAGCATCATTATTCCACAATACTGTGAAATTCCGGAAATTATGTAATCACTTAATCACAATAAAAAAAAAAAAAGAACCTCGGGTAAGGTAGGGAGGGAGGGGATGGCAGGGGGTAACAATGTTCAAGAGGAAGTGTACTCATTACCTCACTCATGTAACTGTAACCCTCTGTATAGTATCTTTACAATAAAAAAAAAAAGAGTCATATTCTAGTGTTAAGCCTCAGGCCTTTTTTTCTCTCTCTCTTTTCTTTCTCCCACACTTCCTCTTGCTTTCCACTTGTGCTGTCAGTTCGACCAATACTAAGCAGGTGTCTCCCATGTGTCAGGTACTGAGCTCAGGGATCAGGCCATGGAGGTGAGAAGAACCAAGCCTCTGGGTGTGGTGTGGCATATAAGAGTTCACTTCAGGGTATGGCAAGACACTTGCTTAGCCCAAGCCTTAGCTGATTTAAACTGTTCCACACCCTCATCAGACACCATGTAAATATCTGAAATACATCTCTCACAAGATGAAAAGTTCCCTGAAGACAAGATTCCATCTCAGTCTCCTCTCTGTCCCCTGAGGCCGGATACAAAGTTGAACTATGTACCTTGGACCCCTCAGATTTATGCCACCTAAACTTACATTTTCTGAGGATGAAGCCAGCACAGATCATAAAAGAGAAGGCAAAACACATGCAAAATGACCAACCTGGGCCTTGTGAAAACCACCTGCACAAGGCCCAGGGAGTTGTACTTCAGGAGATAAAAATGCAGTGGAAGTCAAGTGTATGTGGCTCACTCCTGTAATCCTAGCTACTCAGAAGGCTAAGATCTGAGGATCATGGTTCAAAGCCAGCCCAGGCAGGAAAGTCTGTGAGACTTATCTCCAATAAACCACGCAGAAAACCTGAAGTGGTGCGGTAGATCAAGTGGTAGAGTGCTAGCCATGAGCTAAAGAGCTGGGGGATAGTACCCAGGCCCAGAATTCAAGCCCCATGACAAAAAAAAAATGCACTGGACTACATAATCAGTTATGTGTGTAAAGAGGGTAAAGGGAGCTCTGTCAAGCCACTGTCTGTCCCTCCTCTGATCCCTGAAGCTGCTCTCAGGCCACATGTCAGATCTCACTGGGATAGCTCTTGACAAGCTGAGCACAGGGTGGGAGGCAAAGGAGGCCAGGCCTAGGAATGAG